CCCCCCCCGTCCCCTCCAGGTGTTCTCTGGATCATACGGTGCCCTTTCAGGGTGGGGTTCCTCTGCCTTCCCCCATTCATTGTAGCTGGGCGGCAGGACTCCTGCTGGGTCTAGAGGACCTGGATTGGAAGGAGCCCGCAGGACAGAGAGTGGCTATCAAGGGAGGGTGCAGAGCTGGGTATTAAGCAGATAAGTGTCTCTCTTACCCTGGGGGGCCGTGGACGCAGCAATGAATGAAGAGTGTGCTTGGGCGTCACATTCTCCGTCCAGACGGGCTTTGACGTGTCAGTGGCTTCTGGGGAGTGGCAGTATCTGCTACCAGGGGATGGTGGGTGGGGAGAATGCACAGGAACAGGGGAGCATTAGTCCTCTTTCCTGCAGGGGTGGGAACTAGTGTGTATTTGGCTTGCAGCAGCATCCGGGAGCCCCGGTTCTGGAGCAGCTCCCCTCTGCGCCAGGCATTGCACACACAACGGGCCCTGCCCCAGAGAGCTGACGGCCTGCCTCCCCCAAGACTCCCCCTTTCCCAGGGAGCTCTCCGAGGAGGAAACGAGCCCCGGCAGCCTCTCCGCTCGCTCCACTGAGCGGGAGAATCCACACGTGGCACTGGTTTCTGCTGCACCGAGTGGTGGCTGCATAAGCTGCTCCCCTCACCCCCCCGTAACGCTAAATGGGGAGCGTGGGGCGTCACGCATGCACATTGACAGCAGAAGAGGCCGTGGAGGGACTTGGGGGGGCGCTAGAATTCCGGGGTTCTATTCGCAGCTCTGTCACAGGGATCGTGTGAGCCAGTTACAGTCCTGCTCTGCACTCTCTGTTTTGCCCTCAGTAAACAGGGGTGATACCTACCTACCTCCCTCTCTGGGGAGGGGAGAGACAGAGCTGCGGATGGTGTGTATGTGAGAGCTCATTGGCGCTGGGAGAACCCATCTGTGTATAATTCGGTTTGAAATGCAGCCAAATTTGGGATGGGACATGGTAACTGCTTAGCACCACCCGTTCTGCATTGGCAGTGAGGGGATCTACACGTGACACGCTCGAGGCTTTCGATGGTGCACAACAGGGCTTAAGTGTGGTGGCTGCAGTGGGATTCTAGAGGCGGAAGGTAACCCCTGCTTTAGAATAGGGTCAGGACACGGGTTTGTGCTCCTCCTCCTGGGCTCTCTAGTGGGCACAGCGTCTCCTAGCTCTGGCTCACTCTTGGCTTGGAGGCTAGGCCAACGGGCAGCCCTTGGCAGGAAAGTGGGGGGTGTTTCTTGAAGGTCTCTGCACGCTGTGGTGAGCCCTGCCCAGGGGCCTGAGCCTGTGCGGGAATGGAAGTGCAACAGGAGCAGCTCAAAGGTGCCGCTGACGTTTGCGTGTTTTCTCCCTCCAGACGGAGATCGCCAAGCGGCTCAACGTCATCTGTGCCCAGCTCATCCCATTCCTGTCCCAGGAGGTGAGGTGGACCTGTTGCCTCTGCGGGCAGGGGGTGCGTGGGCTCGTACAGGCTGCCTGGGCGGGTCTGGCTCCAGCCACGGCTTGGAACATCCCAGGCTGTATTCTCAACCGCTGGGCAAGCCAGGCACCTCCGCCTGCGGGTGGGGGAGGGTCAGGTCATGCCATTTCCTTTCCCTGCCTTTTTAAAGGTGACCAGAGGATTTTTTTGTCTCCTCCCAGCATCAGCAGCAAGTGGTCCAGGCAGTGGAGCGAGCCAAGCAGGTGACTATGGCAGAGTTGAACGCAGCAATCGGGGTATGTGGACCGTCCCACGCTGCTGGCCACAGTGTGTACCGCCCCTCCCGGGGTTTAACTCGGTCTCCTGCCCCCCCCGGGCCGTGGGGAGGGGCTCTTGGCCTGTCCGAGGCGGGGTCCATGTCCCCCAGTAGCGGGCTCTTTCGGCACCGGGGGGTGCCTCTCCCACAGCTCGGAGCATCCGAGAGGGGATTGTCCTACTTTAGCCGGAGCGGCTGCTGTCTGGGACCTCGGCTGATGCCTGACTTCTATCCCATAATGAGCTCAGTGGGAGGATGGGGGAGGGGAGCACTCCACTAGCTCTGGCATCTAAGAGCAAAGTGGGAAGCCGCTTCCCTAACTTAGAATCCTAAGATGCTTTATTGAGGTTCCTGGCCCTTTAAAATTTGCCCTGCCCCCCTGGAGAGCGGAGTCTCCGAGTTCCAGGGAACCCTGGGCAGGGTGTGGGGGGGGCGGTTGTTTTTTAAAGGGCTGGTGCTGTAGGTACCCCATAGGTCCTCCACACCTGTGTTCTGGCAGCGAGATGCACCATGCACGCAGGATGGGGGTGGTCGGCACCATTCACTGGAGGGCAGGGTCCTTTCTCTTCGTCTTCCTGAGATGCCAGCGAAATGCGTGCCTCCAAAGATTCCCTGGAAATGCCCTCTGAGCGTCAACCGCCCCCTCTCCAGTACGGACGGGCTAGTGCGTTAACCCAACCCCGTTCAGTCCCCACCGGGCGCAGACCCTAGAATTGTCTTAAGGTTGGGCTGCCCCCTTGTTGGCCGTGGGGGAACCGTGTGAGGTGTCGAAGGCCGGAGAAGAGCTATTGGTCAGCAGGGCCGGCTCCAGGGTTTTTGCCGCCCCAAGCGGCGCGCAAAAAAAAAAAATAAAAAGCCGCAATCGCGATCTGCGGCGGCAACTCGGCGGGAGGTCCTTTGCTCCGAGCGGGAGTGAGGGACCGTCTGCCGAATTGCCACCGAATAGCTGGACGTGCCGCCCCTCTCCGGAGTGGCCACCCCAAGCACCCGCTTGGCAAGCTGGTGCCTGGAGCCGGCCCTGTTGGTCAGGGACGTGGGGTGACGAGCGTGGAGACGAGCCCCCTTGAAAATTGGCGAATGTGTGTCCGGGGGAGCTGGGATGGCTGTGTCTGTGTCAGGCCAGTGTCAGCCAGTTGGATGGATGGGGACATGCAGCCAGCCCTCTCGGGACTTTGGGGCGGATTTTGTACTGAGTGGTGGGAGGATAAGGGAAGCATAATCCTGCCCTGGGGCCGAGAGCGGAGGGGAAGCATGTGAGACGCTGGCAGAAATAAAACCGGAGGAAGGAAGCGGGGCCCAATAAAGGAGCGGTGACAACTTGCTCCATAGCCGTACTTAATGAGCAGATTATGAGAGCCTTTAAACGTAGGGACGTGAAAACGATAATGGAACAGGGTAATTGGATTTGGCACGGCGTGCCAAGGATTGGGGACATGAGACGCCGAGCAGAGCGTCTGGAACAAAACGTGGCGTTCGCGGAGGCCAGTGTGCGGCACAGAAGCCTAGGAAGCGTTATGGATCCTTGTGGCGGGGAGGGCTGGCAGCTTGGCTCTTACAAGCTGCGATGGGAAGGCTGAACGCAGCTGAGAGTTGGAGGCTTAGAGACCTGGATGTGACAGAAGCAGGACAAATTATGCAGGAGAAGAGGGGGTGGGGAGGAGAGGCTCTCCCAAATGAGGATCTAAGAGTATTAGCGCTTGCATACCTTGGTGGGGCAGAGGAACGCTGCTAGGAGGAATACATTAAAAATGATGGAGCTGGATCATGGCAGGGCTGGATAATTGATGTGTGTATTTATTTTACGACTGCTCAATAGATTTGGGTGCCGAGGATTCGGTGGGCTGGTATGTCTGTGTGGGGTTACTTAGCCACAGACATCACCGCTTCTTAGTAAGGCTTGGCAGAATTCAATTCAATATTTGTATATATCATTTTGATGAATAATATCAATTCTTTTAAAGCATTTTTTCCTTTTTTTCCATATGTTTACATTTTCACCATTGTGGGAAATTATGGATGGAATAGCCAATACTTACTTATTGGCAGTAGATGCTGAGAATCAAAAAGTTAAAGCTTTATAACCATTAAAACACAAACTACCAACATCCCCTCACGTGTCAAAATATACAAATGGAAAAACTCTTAAATCAAACACTGAGTTCACAAGGAGCATTCTTTTTACTTGGCCTGTTTGTAAGTGTTTCCAGCAATACTAATCGAAAATGTGTGTGTATATTGTGACAATAACGTTTACCAACAAAAATCTGACCCTTCCATGCCTATTTTTAGTTGAGGACACAATCAAGCTATATTGTGACTCCGGATTCATACTCCATATTGATTTTTAATAAGAAAAATCAAATACCCCCACAACGTCCTTATAAAAAAGGAACGCCAAGCAAGGCGCTTCTCTGACGAGCTTTCTGTTGCAGTGTAAACAGAGAGTTTTCCCTGCTGTAGTTTGCCACCTGGGTGTTTCAGCCCTAAGAATGCAAATGACGCAGGACTCGAAACAAGAGGGAAACCGACTTCTCTGGCCCCACAGAGAGAAATGTAGACAGTCAAGTGTGCAGAATGCAAAGTGGATCGTAATTGACTTTATAAAGGGCTGTTAGGGACTCAGCTGGAGAAAGGGATGGGCTGGGGGTTTATTTTTTTGGTTTTCAAGCGAAATTGACAAGTGGCCCTATTGGGAAGAGAGTGTTTTTTTGCCACCGTCTTCCCAACAGTAGCCATCCAAAACTCTCTTGTGACCAAGGAAGGGGGAAAGTGGTGGTTGGCTGAAGCAGAGGATTGTTGCGTATGGTGAATTGCGCTGCTAGCCCAGCCTGGCTCCTGGCTTGTGATATCTTAGGTGGCCGGGGGAAGCCAAGACAGCTGCGGCGGAGGCAAGCAGGTTATTTTGACCCCTGTCTGGGATGTTACCTGGGAGCCCTCTTCAGGGAAGGCCCAGACTCATGTCCTTCCGCCGCTGTAGTTCTGACCTCTCCCTTTATTTCTTAAAGCGGATGTAGCGCCGGTGCCAGGGGCTGGACTGAGAGCTCTGGAGACTGACGTCCTCTGTCCGTAGTGCAGGTACCACATGGGCGGCAGTGGCCAGGCAAACTTCCTCTGGGCCCCGGACAGCCTGCCGTCTGACCGCGGTCGGGCAGCGACCTCTGGTTCCTTCCCAGATGGAGTGAGCTTCTTGGAGATCCTGGCTTGCACGGGGTCTCAGCCTTGAGTCAGCGAGGCTGGCCTGGCCCTTGAGGGCAGGGTGGGGAAAAGCAGACACCTCCTCTCAGGCGCTAGCGTCTCATCCGCCCGGCCTTCCGCGCTCTCTCTCCACAGCATCAGCTCCAGGCGCAGCACCTGTCCCACCACGCCCCTCCCATCCCGCTGACCTCTCTCCCCTCCGGCATGCAGCCCGGCATCGGTGGAGCGTCTGGTCTGCTGGCTCTGTCCGGGGCCCTGGGAGCTCAGGGCCAGCTCCTCCCGAAGGACGACAGGGGACTTCACGACAGCGAGCACAGAGGTAGGGCTGGGGGGGTAGGGGGTTGGGAGAGCAGGGAAACTTGACCCTGACTGCCCAGGTGTCGAGATGGTGAACTCCAGAGAGAGTAGGGAGTCTGAGGTACGGCTGGCAAGGGGGAGCAGAGCCCTGGGGTTAAGCCCCATCCCGGCCAGCCTTGGCCAGAGCGTTCTCAGACTCTCTGGGCACCCTGCTCTCTTGCACTGGGGTTAGCGATTGGACGGGGCGAAGTGCTGCGGGTGGGAACGGTAGAGTCTCAGCCTCCGTCATAACTGAGCACGACTGGGCATGGGGCGGGGCATCGGTGGATCTGGCCCTCTGGGTGGAGGCTGGGTGGTGGGGAGGGGGTCTGAGTTTCCCTTAGGCCCTTGCCAGCAGGGGGTCTCTTACAGCGAGGGCCTTTTCCAGCCAATTTCAGGCTGCAGCCTGGCTCCTCCACCTGGAGCCACGTACTGGGGCAACTCCCCAGCCGCTAGCAGGGGGTGCAACGAACACTTGGGTTTGGGGCGGAGGGCTCTGTCCCGGGGTGGACACTGCAGTGCAGGGCGCAGGATATGCCCCCAGCAAGGAGCTGACCCCCCTCCCACGCCATGCGCCCCAGTAACCTGCCGGGCCGGTCTCGGGGACCGGCTTAGCAGCCTGTCCTGTCCACAAGCTGCAGAGGTGGGTGGCAGCAGACGCTGCCTCCCTGTGAGAGGAATGGGGGGGGGCAGGACAGCGTGTGCATGCTGGGGAGGGGGGCGCCTCAGAGATGAAAGCAGCACCCTCTTCTCTCTTCCTTTCTTGCCCTGCTGCTGATCTGTGTTGCCATGGAGACAGAGCGAGACCTGGGTCCCGTAAGTACTCCTCCTCCTCCTCCGCTTATTGTTTCCTTCCAGCTGCGAAAGGCTTTGGCCAGGGAGATTGGGTTGGGGGGGGGGGCTTTAAAAGCTTCCTTTTAGCCGTGGGGGGGGAGGTTTCCTCCTGTCGGGGCGGGGGAGGCGGTTGCGGGTCTGGCGGAAGAGGGGTTACAACCTCAAGCAGCATCCTTGCTGCGTGCAGCTGGTAAGGAGCTGGCAGGCAGCCAGGTGGCCAAGGTCATGGTGCATTGAATCTCTTTCCTTCCCCCCCCCCCCCCTGTGTTGCCCGGGGAGGGAGGCCGTGCATGGCTCCCCCGTATGGGGGGAAGAGGGGGGGCTTTGCATGAACCCACCCTCTAGCTCGCCATGGGGGCTGGAAGCGGCGCACCCCTTGGAATGCAGTTTTGGGGGGTGGGGTCCACACCCTTTGTCTAGGGCTAGAGCTGGGCAAAATCTTCCTGTTCGGGCTGACACTGCTGCCGCTTGTGACCCCTGGCAGCCCTCCCTCTGTGCCCGCCCGGCCCTGCCAATCCAGGCTTTCCCCATCGTGGGCTGCTGGGTTCATCTCCCTCTTCCTTCGCCTGCCACACCTGCTCCCCCCGCCCCTTCTGCAGCTCTCAATGCCCTGTGCAGAGAGTAGGGCCCCAGCTGAGCCCCACGGGTGCAGTTCCCGTTGACTCCAGTTGCTCTGGTACCGGCCTTCTGATGCCAGGGCTGGGTTGGATCCACAGCAGCCCATGGTGCGTGGGCGGCCGGTGAAGCTTATGCCTGGTTTAGTGAGGGGGAAACTGAGGCAGGGGGCTGTCACACAAGGAGTGGAAGCCAGGTATCCTAGCTCCTGCTAACATTGGAGTCGGGGAGCGGTTTCCCTTCTCTGCCAGCGCATCCCTAGTTGTCCCCCCTGGCTGACACAGAGCAGACAGGGACTTGCCAGTGGGAACCTTTCCAGCCTAGAGCTCTGCATCTGCCCCCGGTAGCTGCCTTGTAGACGCAGGATGGAGCTGGAGTGGCAGGAGCAGCTGGCTTGCCAGGTGCCTGAGTCCGGGACGGCCAAAGCCTGGGGCACCGTGACCTGGGGTTGAGGGCAGAGCTGTGGGTTCGAGCTGGTGAACTGGAGCCATTCCTGCAATGTTACCCACCCATCAGGGGGTGCCCGGAGACCTGTCAGTAGGGGAAAGAGGACGACATTTGGTCCAGCAGGCTTGGGAGGACCCATATCCGGGGGCGGGGGATATCTCCCAGATTGCAAAGCTTGCTGTGTGCGTCTCCACAGCCAGCCTGCTCTGCTGCCCTGCGCAAACCTCTGGGGCCCCAGCCTCCTGGCTAGTGGGG